AGACAAGCAGGAATCAGAGAGCCACGCCAGAACGCACCCCACCCTCATGCCCACCATCTCTCCCCTGGGGACCGGCTCCCGGCCCCGCCCTCAGCCCCATGGCAGCAGAGGAACCCTATCAAATTCCCCCTTCGCTCCTGGGCTCAGAGACCCAGCCAGGCTCCCCCTCCTGGACACATCAAAGGCCTAAGGCCGTGGCTGATGGGCCTCCTTGCCTCACGCCTGGTCTTGGCCCCACGGGGCTCCCTCAGGACTGAGGCAGGGCCCCCCAGGCTGGCACCGAGCTCCTCATGTGCAAGCCTGACTCTGGTCGAAGAAACCCCACAGGAGGAGACGGGTCTGCCTTGTGAGCCCAGGAACCTCTGCACCCCACACAGAATGTGCACCCAGAAACATTCACCACGAAGTCAGTGAAACTTCTGTCGCCGAAGGGTTCGCACGGCACCTCCAGCTTCCAAGCTCCTTAAAATCAATTTTACCGATCAGGCCTCCAAAGTGCCTTGGAATCAACAGAACAGGCAACTGAAAGGGGACCAGAAAGCTTTGGGATGTCTGATACTTTAACAGAATCATTCCCATTGCCCAGAGACAGGGACTCTTCACACCTGGGTGGTGACAAGGTGAGACGCTGGGTCATTCCCTACAGCGACCGGCCCCAGCGGCCACACACCTCACCGCAGGCCGGGGTTGAGACACGCGGGGTCTGGTGGAAGACACAGGCCACCCATTGCCTGGCCCACCCAGGAGGAAAAAGGTCCCCAGTGCCATGGGTGCCACACCTGCCTACCAGACACACAGACAAGACAGTTCGCAAGGCGGCCAGCCACAAACTCCCTCCCTCCCTAGTCAAAGCCAGCTTCCGAGGCAACGTACCCGGTGCGGGTGAAGGCCGGGTGGGCTGGCAAGGTGCCCCGGCCCCAGGAGATGGGGGGCCACACGGGCTCCTGCCTTCCTGGCTGACCACACTTCCAGCCCAGTGCAGCAGAGAGGCCTCCCTGGGGAACGCCGGGACCGCCGCTCAGGGTGCCTGGGGCTTCCTGGAGAGGCAAACACACCCTGGGAGCAGGCTCTGCCCCTAGAATGGGGCTGCCCCAACCACGCCCTAGCCTGGGGACACTGCTGCAGTCCTCCCAGCAAAGTCTGGGCCACTCTGAGTGTGGGTAACCACAGAGACCCTTCCCAGTCCCCCCAAAACAAGGTGCCCTGGAGAGACGTGAGGGGTCACAGGTGGGACAAGCCGGAGCCTGTTATTAACAGTTATGTTTATTTTTACAGGTACTGTCTGTGGCGAGTTACACTAATGTGCTATTTCAGGGTATGATACGAAGTTTCCTTCTAAAAGAAATATTCAGGAGACTGAAATGCACCATGGGGTCCTGGAACGAAAAAGGGCAGCACAGGGAAAACCTAGCTAAGTAACCTGCTAGGGCCTACAGTTTGGTTAACAGCGCTGCCCCCACGTTTCTGCCTCAGTTTCCATGCTTGTAGCATGGTCTGGGGCGGTGCTGACTTCAGAGGAGGCAGGATGACGCTTATAGGAACACAACCATTTTTGTAACTCTTTAAGTCCAAAATTCTCTAAAATAAAAAGTTATAAAGTATTTAAACTTTAAAAAAATGAGTCGAGGGGGTGCCTGGGTGGCTCAGTCGGTTAAGTGTCCAACTCTTGATTTCTGGCTCAGGTCATGAGTTCAAGCCCCATGTGAGGCTCCGCACTGGGCATGGAGCCTGCTCAGTATTCCCCTCACCCCCTCCCTCGCTCTAAAAACAACAAAATAATATAAATAAAATAAAGCAAAACAAAATAAAATAAAAGAGTCGAGCTGCTGAACACAAAGTAAACAAGAGTACAGGTGGGTCGTGGATCTGGAAAGTCTGGGTCAGCCAGAAATACCTAGAGATGGGGCAGCACAGGGATCATCATACACCTTCCCATTACAGAAGGGGGGTCCATGCAGGGGTGGGGAGGGAGGGCCACACATGGCCCAGGCCCAACCCCTGACCCTGCGTGCCCCGTCTTGGCACCTGCACTGAGCCACCTGGGAAAGCTACAGTCTCAGGGCTCACTCCTGCAAGGAGCCCTTGATTAGATGCACAGAAAATGTGCCCACAGAGGGGGGGAAAACACAGCCCCTTGCAGACCCCAAGGCCACCCCATGTGGGTGGAAATGAATCTGGGCTGATGAAATGACCTGTGCCGACGTTGGATCAAATCAAAGACCTCCACTGAGAACTGAGAAATAAAAGAGATAAGGCTTACCCAAACGTACCTCTCCCCCAACTCTGCCCTGGCCAGTCCAGCAAATGCCACCCGCCAGGCATGCCAGCCCTCAGCCCCTCTCCACTGCCTGCCCTTCACACCAAGTCTCAAAGTCTAGCTCAGACCTCGCCTGCCTTCCCAACCCAGTGGAGGGGGCCCCTCGGCAGCCCAAGGTCCTCCCAGGCCTTCCCCAAACCTGGGCACCCAGGGAGCTCAGCAGGCCCCGGGTGGGGTGGGGGAAGAAGGGAGGACCCCCCATATGCAGGGCGCTCGGGGTCAGCTTGCCATCACCTCTGGAACTGAGCAGCCCTGAAGGATCAGACGGCAGCTCTCACCCTTGGCCGGGCCATGAACTTCACGCGGGCGCTGGGGGTGGGTGTGCAGCTGCACTGTTCTGGAGGGTCCTGTGTTCAGCCCCCCGCCCCCCCGGCCCCGGGAGGCTCTGCAGCCTTGGGCATCCACAGGCAGGAAGGCAGCCCCGCAGGCCCAGGGGATTTCAGGAGATGTCCCTGCCCAGAGCAGTCCCACCCCTCCTCACAGGGTCCCTGTCACCAGCACTGAGCTGGGACCCCGCCTGGCGCCGACCCAGCTGGGCAGCTCCTGTCCCACTGGGCTGCCTGGGTTCTCAACATGGGAACCGGCAGGGCCACCAGCCCATCCACCCTTCAGATGAGTGGGAGGTTCTCCTCTGGGGACTGGGGACCACCCAGCAGCACACACCAGCACCCACCACCTGCTGGCGCTGGGTCCGAGGGGCAGCCACAGAGGGCACACAGCCCTGGCCAGCCCCTGTCCGGCCCCTGGCCCCCCGTCCTGCCCAGGCCCCGACACGTGAGAACCTGTTGGAGCAGTCTGGGCACCGCGGGCACCTCCTCTTCCTCCTTCCCATTTACTTCTGGGTGGGAAGGGGCCTCGCTTTGAAAACTGGGCATAGGGCCAGGTCACAGCCGCGGGCCAGGGCCCAGCTCTACCTCCCCCACCCCACGGCCCCCAGAGAGCATAAGGTCAAGTCGAACCCGGGGCGTCCCTGTCTGGAGCAGAGGAGGGGGGGAACGGGGCACCAACCGGCAACAACACCCCCACCCCCACCAACGCCGTTCTGTCACCCACCCCCGCGGGGCGAAGAGGGAGGGGAGGTGGGGTGCGGGGGGTGCGGGTAACCGGCCGGGGTCCCCCCACCCTACCCGGCCCGGACCGCGTCCCGGGGCTCGGGGGCCGCGACGGAGAGTGGGCGCGCCGGCCGCCCCCCTGGCCGGGCCCGCCGGCGTCCGGGCCGCCGCTCGCGCCTCTCCGGGGCCCGCGCGGGGAAAGTTCCTGCAACTTCGCGGGGGAGGCGGCGGGCCGGGCCTGGGCCTGAAGCCGGCCTCCCCGCGGCCCCTGCTGTCAGCCGCCCGGCCCGCGGCGCCCCAACTTCCCGGCGCGGCCCCCGGGCCCGCTTTGTGCGCTGCGCGAGGGGCGCCCGCCCCGGCCCCGGCCCCCGCCCCGGGC